CACGTTTCTGTGCGACAGAGGAGCATCTACCGAATGACCGAAGTACGGGAAGCCTAAGCTCATACTGGAAGTCTCAATAGTTCCGTGCACTGCCACGTGTTAGGTTCGTTTGAAGCGTGATAGCATACAGAACTGATAAAGCCGATGACAAGATTTATCCACTAAAAAGCGAGAAGTAAAAGCAGAAAGTTATACTGATGCATAAAGTTCAGCAGTCAAAGCAAGACGAAAAACCTATCAGTTGTTTGATGACGAGAAGAAACGCGACGATGAAAATCAGTAGACGATTTGAATGATGTATCCTTATTTCAGGTGATGTTGTTCGTTTGATATTGCAAAAAGTAGCGGAATTTGATTTGGTATCAAGAACATGGACACCGGCACCGACTGTGGACCTCGAAGGCGACGATTCGGGAAAGCAACCACCGAAAAAGTCACGGCACCATTCACCAGACCCGGAGCCAGTTGATCTCACAGACGAAACAGATTCGGATCACCAGAGGAAGAAGGGAGCGAGAACAACCGCGCTGTACCCTCAAGTTGGTGATGATGAACCGATGCATGTAAAGGAACTCGTCAAAACCAAATAAACTTTATTTAATCGTGTTTTCTTATGACTTCGTATGAGGCATACATCCATAAAGTTTTTTTTCTACAAAAAATTTCTCCTAGGTAGTAAAAGAAACCGGAAAATCTCAGAGTTTAGGTTTGTACTAGGAATTCAACACTAGTGTTGTTACGCCACACCTCAGGCTTAGCTGTGTCAGGCCTCAGGCCCTTCGACGTGCAGTCTCGAACTACGGATTGTGAAGCATTTTACTTCCTGGAACGAATAAAAATAATTGTCACTATCTTCAAAATCAGCATCATTTAAGTGCAGTTTATTCGGTATTACATTATCGACACTTTGCATCATTTCTGTTTTCGATGCGTTGATTTTCAAGTCTCCTGTCTTAAACTCCCACAGCATTATTTTAATCCCTCCAGGGCTATTCGCAAGAACTATATCATCGGCGAAACGTAATTGGTTGGGCGATGCTTATCAGTGATGGATGTCTACTGCACTTGTGATTTGTCGTGCTGTACTAACTTCAAAATCTCTCAGTGAGGAGTCTCGCTAGTCGGTTACCAACAATACCCGTGAGTAACCCTGTGAAAAAAAAGAACACGCTGATCGGGCGGTAATTCTTCAGATCTTCGCTATCGGCCAGTTTACACCATAATGAGGTGCCTGTTTTCAGTAATTTTGCAAAATGGTGACATACAGACACACACACACACACACAGACGCATACACACCCACACACACATGT